GGACCCCTCAGCAGATGTCAGAGAGATGGTTTCAGCCTGATCCCCACAGACCAGACCAAGGGATTCATGCACCAGATCTGTGCACTGGGCCTCTAGTATACATATAGATCTTTGGTTAATCTCTTCCCGTCCTCCTCCTCCCCCTTTCCTCTGAGATTCATCAGTCTATTCCATGTTTCAATGCCTGTGTATTGAGCGTCTGCCCCCTAGTGGTCAGTGCACATCATAGCTACCAGTTGAATGGTCACTTAGGCTTTTATATATTAAGATATGTTACACACTAGTATATGTTACATATTAGCACTTTAAAAAATATATATTTTATTAGTTTTTTTACAGAGAGAAAGGGAGAGATAGTTAGAAACATCAATGAGAGAGAAACATCAGCTGCCTCCTTCACCCCTCCTACTGGAGATGTGCCTGCAACCAAGATATATGCCCTTGACCAGAATCGAACCTGAGACCCTCCAGTCTGCAGGCTGATGCTCTATCCACTGAGCCAAACCAGTTAGGGCACATTTTATATGTGACATTTTACTATGTTATATATTATCTACAGTATTAATACATATGCTATTTGTTCTGGAGTCTGTTCCAGAACCCCAGTATCCAGCTACTGATTTTATTTTTCTTGTCCTTCATACCTACCTATCCCACTTTCATCTTTTCTTCTCAGCTGGGTCTGGGATCCACGTGAGTGTGAATTCCACAGCAGCACTCGGAAGCCTGTTCTACCTACCTTTCTTTGCTATCTCCAGGGCAGATTTTACTTCTGCTGTTGCAGTTTTTGTTCCCTTGCAATATTCCCTCACCCCTTCCATCTCTCTCTGTATCTCATCTTGTTTCTCTTCTAGTTCATCCAGGGCCCCCTTTATGGCCTCCCAAGAGCCACCAGGAATTTTTTACCTGTTGAAGATAACAGGAAATTTCCAACGATTTCTTTCTGGGTTAAGCAGTGGATCGCTGAGACATATACTTTCTGAATCTTTTGACTGCTCCCTTTGCCTCCACCTGCAATTTTTTAACAGGCCCCGTGGCATTAGTCACCTTAGCCTAACTTCAGGTAATGCAGTTCAGACTTGGTGTCTGTCACAAAGAGAACTGACCTTGCCCCCGTGTTTGGTCCCCTTATGTAATGTTCCAAGATCCTCACCACATTGACAGCTGTGCTAGTTAACATGCTCATTCCCAGCAATTTCTCCCTATACCTGCTGTCTGGGTCTTTGATACTTAAAACCAATGGAGCATAAGAAAAGTTATAGTTCCCGAGAAGTCTAGACCCTAAATCTTTCTGCATCTGTCCCCTTGACCTTTGTAGAGAATCTGGATCCTATTGAAGAGTAGACATTGCTGGCTCTATAAGGGTTTTGTTGTTTACTTTTGTCCCCGTGGGTGAGGATTCTGTCACTTGCAGCCTTGGTTTGTCAACCAAAGTGTTGGAGCTCCTCTGTTCCCACAGGGTTTCCCTTCATGATACCCTGATATTCCAAGCCTGACAGTTGGTTCCATACCTGCCAGTGACACCCATTCTGAGAATGTGGACAAAATCATAGGAGGGCCAAACCCACCCACTCTACCATGACTTACATGCTGCAGGGAAGGGGCCAATTTGCAAGGTCCTGAGAAGTGAACAGAATGTGTGCATGGCACCAGGCTCGACACCAACATGGGAGGTGTACTTGCAGTGAAAACTCAACACCTACTCTTCTTTTCTTTCTATTGTAATAGAACTTCCAAATTTTAGTTGTGCCCATAACCTTCAGATGAAGACTAAAATTTCCAGCTTTTCTTAGAGCAGATGAACCTCTGATTAAGTGTTGGACAATGGGACATGAGTGGACAAGACTGTGCAGATCGCAGCCCTGACCTTTGAGGGAGGGAGGGAACACATGGCCCCTTGATGGCTTTCCCTGGGCTGGCACATTATACCCTGGTGAGCCATCTGGGACCAACACCCTAGAGCATGGAGAGCAACGAGAGAAGAACTCAGCTGCCCCACAATGGAGCTGCCATTTCAGCCTGGACTACTTACTTTCAGAATATTTAAATAGAGAAAAATAAACTCGCTATGTAGACAACAGTGTTGGGGAGTTTCTTTGTTAAAGCAGTCTAGCCCATACTCTGCCTGTTACACTACTCAATAAATAGTACTTTCCCCTCTGTATGCCTTTGAGAAGGGTATTGTGCAAGGTGGGGGTACCAGGGTGTTAAAGCTCTGCAACTTCCCAGACTCCTCTCCATTAGAAACAATTGTGGGAACATTGGCTCACATCTCCATCTGCTTCTTGGCTCATAGGCCAAAACAAACACTCTTCTTCCAGTGACAAAGGTGGTAGCATGGGAGTCTCCCAGAGGTAGGAGGCAAGCTCGGTGCCTCAACAGAACACCCAATGCTCTCATGGGTCATGCTGCAAAGGAAGACCAGAGGCCCCGACTCCCCAGACTCTCCATCTGGCCTGAAGGCAGGCTCACAGCCTGGAAAGGGTCCTCACCACTATTCAGTCATACACTCTTTCTTACCCTTTCCCACCAGGTATGACCTGAGGACTTTCATCCCCAAGATGCAAAGGGTAGAAGCTCAAATCTATGGAGTTTAAGAAACCCACTCCAAGTGGGGGGAGTAGAGATCAAGAGGAAGTGCCCTTCCCTCCATGCCCTATTCGCTCAGCTGTGCTGCCAAGGTGCATGACAAGGGTGCAAACATACACATCAGGTGAGGAGTCTGGAGCCAGACTGAGGGTAATGACTTAGACCACCCCACCACACACAACCACCCTAGCCTTGGCCCGGACATAGGGGCAGCTGAAAGCTGCAGGTGCAGCGTAAGCGAGCTGTGGGGACATCCACTGAGGTGAGCGGAGTGGGGTCCTGGGTCAGTGCCCAGCACCATGGATACATGTGCTCACAGGCTCCTCCACAGTGACTGTCCTGACCTCTGGTGTCCTTTTATCTGGGCTCTGTTGTTTGTTTATGGATGAAGAAAGGCTATGCTCATGCCTCACTTACCCAAGCATGTTTGGCCATAGAAGGTATATTTGGTCAGGGCAAAGGACAGAGGTCATGAGGCTGAGTCCTTTCCCCAGGACCAGGGCGAGTCTCTGAGGGGGTCACTGAGAAACACTTGTCCTGACTTGTATCAGGTTGCTGGGTATACAATCACCTCGAAGGTCCTCACCTACTAATTCACACAAAAGGAGAACTGTGGCCACCTTCCCTACCCACCTGGCTGGCTCAGGGCTTCTCCTTCCTCTGGTCCCGCCCCACTCCCCACCCATTCCCAGCCTGCCAGAATGTGTGGATGGGTCCAAATCCCAACTGTGCAAGTGCTCAGAGAGCCCTCAAGCATCTGGGGGAGTTTTGGAGGCTTTGTCTCCCCAGAGCTCTGAGCAGCTGGAGAGGGCGAAGGTGGTGGCTGAAGTCCTAATCCATTTACCACCACACATGCAGGTGGGAAGTAATATGCCATTTCCTCGGGGAGCTCAGGCGGGAGCATGATCTGCCCCTACATCTGCACAAAACATACAGTGGGTGCACAATAAATACCCGAGGGGCTGCACCAAAAGTGTAAAGTGCCGAGCAAGGGCCTCCAACAATGATTCAGAGAAGTCACCAACCCCGTGGGCCTGGCCTGGCCTGCAGTGGCTTCCCATAGTGACGCTGGAATAAGGGTTGGATTTGGGGTTGTGTAGAGAAGAGGAGAGAGCACTCCTGGCCTTCTGGGATACTGGAATAAGCTGAACCTGACAGCCAGCCTGGAGGTGGGGCTGTGTGGGAACCATGCATGGCGGGGCCTGGGCTGAACCCCAAAGGTGCCTTTGTATCCTTCCAGGTATAAACCTCAAGGTCCCCTGAGGCTCAGCCCCAGATCACCTCATTTCCCGGCAGAGCAGAGCAGAGGAAAACAGTGTATGAATATCATTAAGTTATTGAGTTCTTTTTTTCTTTTTATTGGCAAAGTAAATATATTTTTATGAAGGACCAAAGAAAATATACATAATTGTAACATATATACACCAGCTTTATAGATTTTTAAAATTTCAAATTTACACAAATGCTGATGTTATTAAAAGATATTTTATGTCGATGTACCTATGTACAGTTTATTTACATACATTCATAGGATGTGAAATAAACCTATCAAAACAAGCTAGTTCATTTGATATTAATTTCTAGACAAAATGAGGAATGCATTTCTAAATAGGGATTGGGGGCTTTATCTGCTTCTTCTACTTGCTACACAGCCTGTTACCCTCTACTCCCAAAGGTGACTCGGGAGGCTGGTGTCTGGAACCAGGACGAGGGGATGAGCCACACTGGGTACAGATGCTCCAGGGCTAGCCTGCATCTGCCTGCCCTGCACGTTTAACTGAAGCACATGCACTGTCAGCCCCCAGAGGGGGAGCTTTTCGCCCCAATCCTGCAGACACCAGGAGGCCAGGTCCTGCATCCCTAACAGCCAGACCTGCATACCTCCTGGTATGCAGGCTGAGCAAATCATTTGGATAAAACCACCTGCACACCACAGTGCAGCCCAGGACTTTTGGCCTACTTCCTTCTCCCCAGTGTGGCTCCCTGTGGGAACTGACATTTCAAAACTGCACATTTCATCTTCCCGGGCAATAAAGTGCTGGCCTTGGCCCAAGCAGGGAGCCCAGTGGGAGAAGGGCCAGGCCCCCAGACACTGCAGCAGAGGCCTGTGATGGCGGCGCAGGAAGGCACGAAGGTGCAAAGGCACAAAGGCCGGCCTCCTGGGTCAGGGGCTGGGTCTCCCCAAGAAAGGCAGCAAGTGGGGGAGCTCTGGGTTCCTGCCTCCCAGACCAGCCCCCCTCTTCCGATACCAACCCAGGCTGCTGGATTGGCAACATTATCACATCTCTCTGAAGGAGGCAAATAAATTATTGCTACAAAATATATGAGCGATCTGGACAATCTGATGGGCTGGTGGGATGGGGTGAGCAGGTGGTAGCGGTAATGGTTGTGTGGGTGGGTGGAGGTGGGGGTCAGTTGGCAGCCCGTACGGAGCGACTGCTCCGGGGGAAGCGATGCACCTTGATGTGCTTGGACAGGTGGTCACTCCGCGCGAACTTCTTCTCACACACAGGGCACTGGTAGGGCTTCACGCCTGAGTGCGAACGCCGGTGCCTGGACAGTTCATCTGAACGGGAGAACCTACAGGGACACAGCAATCCGTGAGGCCAGGCTGGCCCGCCCTGCCCCAACTACCCCCATCCCCAAACACATACACCCAGGACTCCACCAGCTGGGCAGCCCAGGGTACCTAAGTGCTTCAGAATTTATGGTGAAAATCCACTGTCCCAAGCCCCTTACCCATGTAAATGGCTCAGCAGGCCATTCTCCTGCATCGGGGCCTGAGAGGGGCTGGTAGGTGTTGGGACAGGCTTTTAAGGCTACCAGAGATCTGACTTACTCTCCAGTCATCCCCCTCTGGCGTGCAGTGGCATAGCTTGCCCTAACTGAAGCTATGCTTCATGCTCTCTCCTTAGACCTGAACTTGGGGCTTCCGTGGAGGTCTACACTGGGAAGCTCATCTAGAGGAAAAAGTGAGGTTGAGGAGAAGTGTCTTTCCCCAGCTGAGCAGGGAGTTCTTGACTCCTTTCCCTTGCCTCCATTAAAGAGACTCACCCCACCCTGGCTGGTTGCTCAATGGTTAGAGCACTGGCCTATGGACCAAAGGGTCATGGGGTCGATTCCTCATCAAGGGCATATACCTCGGTTGCAAGTTGCCCAGCCCCAGCAGGGACACTTGCAGGAGGCAGCCAATCGATTATCTCTCTCACATCGATGTTTCTCCCCACAATAACACTGTCTCTAGATATTGATAGAAAAAGTAGCCTTGGGTAAAGATTTAAAAAAAAAAAAAAAGAAAAAGAAATAGAGCCCCATCCAATTCCTGGGCCCAGTTTTCCTGGAAGCTGAACTCCCTAAGCTGTCCCCAAACAAAACTGTATCTCTACATGGTACTTCTGAGAGTTTCAATGGTTCCCCTGCCACCTCCCTCTCTTGGCCTCAGTCTGTCCAGGAGCAAGTGTTCCTCCCATAGCCCAGAGGCTACAGTGGAAGAGGGTAGAACTGACTGGACCCCGGGGCTTAGACAGCTGTCACTGACATCAGGGATTTGAGGCCCTCCTCACCGCTCACATCCCCGCTCCCACACACATACTCCCCTCCTCTGTGTTCCACCATCACTGACTGACCTTGTTCCCTCTTGACATAGGACATTGCAATACTGTTCCCTTTATCCAGAATGCTCCCTCCCACCCATCCCTTATGTTACTTCCTCAGGAAAGCCTCCACAACTACATCAATGCACCTCTATCCTGGCCCCTGCCACAGTTGTTGCAATTTTAAATCCATTTCTTACTTTTTGATGCCACTAGAACATCAGCTCCATGAGGAAGACAGGTCTACCTGGTGCATGGTAGGTGTCCAGTCAGTGCATTTACATGAAAGTGTGGACACAGCAGGCACCCAGAGCAGGCACCCACAGGAGGATGGAGCTGTCATAGGGACAGTCCTCTCAAGTCCTAGCGCATCCATTCACACACATGCACTCCTGAATCCACACACTCACACACACACATGTGCATGCACGCGCACAGCACACCTGTGTGTACACACATGCCACATGTGTGTGCATGTCATGGGCACTGGTACGTTGCACATGTGTGCACACTCATACATATATATGCCACCCACTCCACATCTTTGTGTACATGTGTGCACATGCATATACACAATGCATATATACATGTGTGAACAAATACATGCATATATGCACACACTCAGGAGTGCCAAACCCAACAGCCCCGTTCCTGGACCTGGGGCCTCACAGTAAGAGGCAGATTAGGTGATGCACCTGGAAAGCTATCCCCAACCCCGCCAATAGGTAGGGGGTGATGGCCCGCTTCTGGCATGACCTGTGGATGGAGGCCTTGATCCTATAGCCTGCCAAGGAGCAGGAGGACCCAGCAGGACAAGTGTTGGGGAATGCCCAGGTGGGCAGAAGGAGGGCTTGAGCACAGACGGGGAGCTGGGCCAAGAGGCAGGGAAGATAAGCACCTCAGCTTCGTTTGGCTGTCCCTGGTGCCCTGCCCCTAGAGCACAACCAGGTTTCTCCTACTCCAGAGCACCAAATGTGGCCAGTATGTTTTCAGAATTAAGGAAGACCAACTGACCCATTGTCCAGATGAGGAAACTGAGGCTTAGAGTGATGATCTAGGGTCACAGGTAGGGCAGAGCAGCCAAGGCCTGCACAAAGGTCTTGAAACAGCTCCCTGCTGTATCCTGCCACCCTGGTGGCCACAGAGCCTGGCTGGAAGGTATGTGCCACTGGAGCCCTGTGCCAGGGAGGAAGCAGCATCAATGGGCTCTGGCAGTCAGAACCTGAACCTGAGCTCCTGGGCCAGGGCCACGTGCCTCCAGCTGCAATTGGACATACAGCGTCAGAGCAGGTGGACACGCCCAAGGCAGGGGGCAGCAGAAAGCTACAGGAAATGCCATCGACGTGCTAGAGCCTTCCCAGACACCAGGCACTGGGCGCACCTGCACCTCGCAGGGAGCCAGGACCAGCCCTGGCACTGACACTGTCACACGGTGAGAGCTCAGAGACAAGAGGCTCGCTGGGGGTCCCACAGCAGTGGCACAGCAGGATCTGCTCAGGCCCCCACTGACCGGGAGCCCTGTGTGGTCCTGAGCAAACTTAACCATCCGGGGCCTGTTTTCTCATGTATCTAATGGAAATCTTGGGATTCTTGTCCACCTTCTGGAACTTTTCTCAGAGGCCAAAGGCAGTGACACAGGACCACAGGGTCCCTGCCATCATGGGGGCAGCAAGGGAAAACCTGGCCTGAGAAGAAGCTGTCCCCACCTGCAAGCCCTCTCCCTACTGCCTTAGGGTCTGGCAATTTGAGAGGTACCGTCACTAGGAACTGAACCCTCAGAAGATCCTTGCCTTACACCCTACTCACATTGTCCCAAAGAAAGATCTGGGGACCACACAGAGGGAGGGGACAGGTGGCTGAGATGCAGGCACATACTGACCAGCAACCTGGGCAAGTTGGCAAGCTCTCTGAGGCTCAGTTTCCACACCTGAAGCCAGGTAAGTGACAGACCTGCCTCAGAAGACTATAAAAGGCGACAAGTGTTTACAGCAATGCTTGACACATGGCAATCACCCAACAATGTGAACTCTTATTATCAGCAAGGAGCTTAGCACAGCACCTGGCCTCTGGGAAGGTCCTTGAGTGTGTGGCGGGTTACTGTGAATTGTGTTACCGGGTGCGGGACAGGGAAGCACAGAGGTCCAGGTGACTTTCCGGAGCAGCTTATAATGTCAGCACCACCACTGGCACACACAACAGCTTTGTGCAAAGGCACCCCTTCCATCTGCCAGAAAGCCATGATTGTAAAGCCAAGTCTCAAAGATCCCAATGGGAATGGCACCCCCCAGTGCTGTGCAGTGCACAGCCTGCCCAGCCACACTTGGAGGCCGAGCTGACTGCAAGGACAGGGTCGGAGAATGCCTCATCGAGTAGGGGAAGCAGTGACACAGGCCAAGAGAGCCAGACCACTGGGCTTGAATCCTGTCCCTGCCGCCACCTCTTAGTTTTGTGGCCTCAGGCCTGCAAATCCCCTTTTCTGGGCCTCTGTGTCTTCTGGGGATGACAACAGTACCTGCCACCCAGGGGTGGTGAAAGTTATTAATATTCATATTAGCTGCAGCAGGAAAGGATTCTTTCTGGACAGAACTGCTTGGCCATTCTGGAACAGGACGTTCCGCTTCAGGGAACAAAGCGGGCCTGTGTCTGAGTGTGAAGCAAGGAAACTTCTAGGAAGGCAGGCAAGCAGCCACTTCCCAGATGGTTAGCTTGAAATAGGGAAAGTCTAATTTCAACCCTGTCAAGGGTGCCAAAACCATGTCACAAGAGGGGAAGGGACAGAGAACAGTGGCTTCAGGACTAAGAGCAGAAGGAAGCGGGGGTTGGTAACCTAGGCAAGTGACAATGGGGGAAAGGAATGCAGGGAGGGATACTGTTCAGCACACAAAGGTGCACAGGGTGGGGCACAAGACACAGTGCCAAGCCAGAACAGGCCTGGTAGGAGGAAGAGGAATCTGCTCACCAGGCACAGCAAGAAGAGAGGCAGCCTTGGGAGTGGGGAGCTCCCCACATGGGGAGGCAAGCAAGCGAGTAGGGGGCCACTCCAAAGACCAGCTGCAGGTGGAGGTCCTCTCAGCATTCTAGCAGGCCATACCTGACTAGAGGCTTGCAGAAGGAGCTGGAGAGAGGTCCTCAGTCTGGGGTGAGAAGGTTGAGGGCAGACAGCCCAGGGTGAACTCCTGACTCTGCCACTTACTCGTTGTGGGACCATGGAGATCTTAACTTAAATGCTCTGTGCCTCATTTCCTTCTCTGTAGAATGGGGCCAACATACTAAGGCACACCTCATGGACTTGTTGGAACATTACATGAGTTACTGTGTTAGGTGCATGCAGAGCGGTGCTTAGCACACATCAGGAACTGCTGTTATCACTGCTGCTATTGCTAGCTCTTTTCCCTCACCCATGTTGTACACGTGAAAAAGCTGAGGGCCTGTGGGGGAGAGAGGACACCCAGCCATTACAATCCAGATGCACAGAGAAAGATGAGGGGAAAGCCAGCCCAGGACTGCAGGTGTCTCCGGGTGGGAGAGGCATGCCTGCGATAATACTTGCAGGTCAGGGTGGGGCTGAGGCACTGCCTGGGGTGTAACTAGAGTCATACTCACTAGCTCTGTCCCTGCAGGCTTTCTGGGCCTCCATTCCCCCCTCTGTAAAATGCATATTGATGTCTCTGTTCCAAGGCTATTGTAAGGACTCAGTGAGTTACTGCCTGTGACCTGTGCAAAACAAACCACCTACAGTTGCCAGTGGGGAAGAAGCGTTGGAAAGAGAGGACACAGAGAGGGCTGAGGTCAAAGTGTGAGCATGGCCTGCAAAGATGAGATCGGCAAACAGATTATGTGGGCCTGTGGACCAGAATGACAAGCTTGGATGGTGCTTACATGAACCAAAGTACACATAAAGGCCAGAATAGCCTCATGGGGTAATGAGTACCCTGTGGCAGGTGGTATGCAATTAAGTATAACTCGTGGAGGGGATTCCAGCTCTGAGAACCTTAGAATAGTGGCTAGCAGAGTGTAGCTGCTCAATAAACATGATACCTTATCATCATCATCATCTTCTCCTGCTCTGTCCAGACCAAGCGGCCACAAAGCTGGGTCTGTCCTCCTGTCCGACTGCTACAAGGGCTCCCTTCACCTCTGACCCTCGGATGAAGGCTATGGCCACATTTAAGGGACATGCATGCCTTGTATACATCCCCGCGGTGTCCGGATCTTGAAGGCCAACTAGAACTCTCAAATTCTCAGAGAAACAGTCCCCCTGGGAGGCAGCGTACTAGGCTCTCAGGGCTTCTGCCAGGTGTGACCTCCACTCTGGAAGAGCTTGAGAGAATCTAGGGAAGCCTTTTGAAGTCCTAGGAGTGGCTGGAAGCAGGGATGGCTTCAGGGTCAACTCCATAGGGACCTCATCATGTCACACAACTACCATGCCTTTCCCTGTTGAGTGAATCCTGAGCAAGAGGAACAACGCCAAGGCTTAAACAGTGGCACAGCTGAATTCCCTCCATAAATCCCACTCTTGTTTGTATACCTCACTACCTCATAATGCCCCTGTGTCGGGGCTGAGATCTGCCTCCTAAGATGCACTTTGGCTGTGGTTCCTGTCTGCTTTCTGCGACAGCCTGGAAGACAGGTCGCCTCCTCTTGTAGGAGTGGACCAATTGGGCAGCCTTGACCAAGGACCATACCTTTCCTCTATGGTCCCACCCAGTCCTATCCCAAATGGAAGGGCCACTTGCCAACAGTCAACAGCAGCCAGAGGACGGCGCCCAGGAAGATGAGCCCATCATAAGAGTCAGACTGATGCTGGAGAGACCTGGGGACCACACAGAGGGAGGAACAGGTCAAGCCAAATGCCCAACCTCTCTCCAGACCTGCTCCCCACCAAGAGGAGGATGCATCCAAGAGGAGTCCCTCTAAGACTGTAGTGCCTCTGAGATGGGGTACACCCACATGAAGGCCAGGCAGAGAACCTTCTCTTCTCTTCTCAGACTCTGATCTTGGATTAAGTGTGACTATTCCACCAATGAGAAAGGTTGCTGCTGAGCACCCCTGGCCCTGGTAAAGAGAGGCAGTGAGTAGGCCCCCCACTTTACAGATGAAGAAACTGAGACTTCGGAAGGGAGACTACTGTGAGGGCACACAGTGAGCTGGAGGCTGACCAGGACTGGGGCTTTAAACCATGCCACGAGGCACCCCAGTGCCTTTCCCTCTGCAGTGGAGAACCTGCCTCTAAAGGCCCATGTCTATGGTCTGCTCCCTGACCCAAGCTCTGACCACCAGCATTACACATCTCCCCCATCAGGCCTCACAAGCTGCCCTGCAAGTGTGCTGTACCCGAGGTCCTACTTGGCAGAGTGCGGCACGAAGCTCAAAGGCATACAGCACCAGCGCTGACACCCAATGTGGGGGGGCTAGAGCACAGGCTCTTAAAGAAGCCCTGTGGGTCTGCTGATTGGCACCTTCGGGGCCTTGGGGTGGAGGGTGCCTGTGCTCAGGAAGGGCCTCCATAACCCAAGATGCTTTTTGGAACAAGTCCTTTCCCTGGTCACCTCTGCACTCCCCTGGAAAGGGACTACCAGAATCACATCAAACATTCTAGTCACAGCTCCTGTCCTGGGCCACCCAGGACTCCAGGACTGGCATCTCCCACCCTGAGACCACTCTCAGGAACTCTCAGACAAAAGTCTGGTCAAAAAGCAAAAGCTGCAAACTGCTCCCTGTGAGCCACACCAACAAGGATGCGCACTTATAGACAAGGTACACACATGGTCATGCATCAGAGGCACACCTGAAAAAAGCAAGATGCGTACACATGTGCACACACAGTTATACAGTGTGTGCACACAGTTATACACTTGCAAGATCCAGTTCTGAACACAGATGTGACATGCCACATTGCTCTCTCACACACACATGTAGCAACAGCCACATCAGTAAAACCCAGGAATGTGCCAGTAGAACAAGCCACCCTCCCAGGCAGACCAGAGATTCCAGCAGGGTGGGCATCCTAAACTGGGGTTAGCCCAGCTGTGGGACCCCTAAGCATCAGAGCTCCTGGCTGGGCTCCAGGCTGGCTACCTGCTTTTCAGGAAAAGGTGGACATGCTCTCCCAAAGAAGGTGAGCCAGCACCTGGGGCCAGGGAAGGGAGCTCCACTGGGGTCCCATCCAGCTATGCTGCCTGAGGGCTGGATAACCCTAGAAAGAGCCCCGTCCTTTGAGAGTTGTTCTCCACGCCATGCTACACAGTCTGTCCTTTGAGAGTTGGTCTCCCCACCATGCTACACAGTGTAGAGTCTTCCACCTTTCTTTCGGTCAGCACCCAGCTGGGCCCTCCCTTGTGGTTGGCTTTTACAGCTTCTCTCACACACCTCTAGGTCTCCCATGGGAGCAATGGCCTGGCCCAACCCATGGGCCCAGGGACTTCTGTAAGGGAAGCTGGTCCCTTTGGTTGGGAAACAGCATTTTCAGGATGTGACTGCTCTAATATGGCCATTTGGGTTCAAATCCCATTTACAAAGTTGTGTGACCTTGCACAAGTTTACTTAGCCAGTCTGAGCCTCAGTCTGCAGTAAGCAGTAAGATGGGAATAAGGGTGGTACTTACCCTTTGGGGTGCTTGAGGCAGAGGGAACAGTGCACACATGGTCAAAGCCCCATCATTCCCAACTGTCCCTGTTATGTGTGCTATGACAGCCCTTCTGCCCTGGCTCAGCCCCCTCGCTCTCAGCACAAGCCCCAGCAAATCTTACCAGGAGACCAGCTGTTTTCTGGCTTTAGTGATCAGGAGGGACAAGCCTCTGAGCAGCCGTTGCTAGCTAGGGCACTGCCCCGGGCCCACCCCTCTCCCCTTCCTAATCAGTCTTATCTAATGCAGAAGAAATCACCTTGGCAGCACACCCAGAAGAACAGAGATAAGGGGCAGCACTCACCCAGCCTGTCACCCCTCATACTGACCTCCAGCCACAGCCCGGCCAGGTGCAAGCAAAGGGCTTCTCGCCTGTGTGCCGTCGGAGGTGGGCCTTCAGGTGGCTGCTTTTGGTGTACATCTTGCTGCATCCGGGGAAAGTACATTTGTGCATTTTGATGAGTTCTGCCGCTGGGTTCTTGGGGAACTTCTGGCCCATGAGGAGGCCGGTGGGGCCGGGCCCCAGGGGTCCTGACCCAATGGGCTTGGCAGCAATGGGCACAGGGGCAATGCGCACAAACTTGGAAGGCGCGTTCAAGTTTGAGGAGGGCACCACCTGGGGCAGGAGTGCAAAGGTCTGCCCCTGGATGTTGACCAGGAGCTGGGCTACCTTGACACTCTCCGGGGCCTGCCCAGGGGAGGAGGGCTCTGTGCCTGATTCCTGCTTCACCTGCACAGGTTGAATCTGCAGCAGCAAGGGGATGGGGCCATCGGATGCAGGCCCCCCACCGGGGCCCTGAGTGTCACCCGCATTGGCACCACCTGGCTGGGGAGCACAGCGTTCTCTCCCACCAGACCCAGGATGGAGATGGATCCTGTGTGGCCCAGCTGAAAGCTGACTACAGACCTCCACATCCTTATTGTTGCTTTCTGGAGCCTCCTTGACCCCCAGCTCCATGTTCTCCTCCAGAAACTCTTCAATCTCCTCCAGCGTGGGCTGGAAGGGCCTTGGAACATCATCGGGGTCACCGACAGGAAACTCTGGGAAGCAGAAATGCTCCCCCTTCACAGGTGCCGGTGCCCTCCGCCAGGCCTCCCAGGTCACAGGACCACTGCTGGCCCCAAGGCTGCCGCTGCCACCACTGCCCAGCGTAGCCTGGGAGAGCAGGAAGTCCAAGATGTTGTCCTGGCCCTCAGTACCCGGGCCATTGCTGTAGCAGGAGCAGAGGGCTTGCGAGTCGGGGCTGGCACAGGAGCAGAGGCTGGAGGCATCACTGTCATCTTCTGAGGGGGGTGAGGGCAGCATGTGGTACGCTTGCCTGCTTACCAGCCTGTCTCCCAAATAACCAACCCGGCACTTCGGCGACGAGAAGTTCTCGTCCACTGGAAGTAAGTGGTCCACCATGCTGGCCTGGCCGTGCCACTGCTGGCTGTGGAGAGGAACAGAGCGCCAATCAGGACAGCACACTTACCTGCCATCGTGTGGGCCTGTACCCCCGCAGCCCCATCTGCTCACAGTCCTCATGGCCAAATGCCTGGATCCTGCCTCCATCCATACCCCAGGATAACTCTTTCTGCAAGAGTGTTTTCTGAAATTGCACCACCAGTTTGCAAGAGTGCTCTTCCAAACCCCATTGCACAACCTGGGGCACTTTTGCTTTCAAACATATTTTCCAAAATAATTCTGAAAAGGGACACCCCCGTGTCTGTGAATGATTGTGACTGCGTGTGAGCAAGAAAGATATGTGAGGAGGCTCTCTGCTCCTTGGAACAGCCAAGGTCAAGAACCCTGTCCAGTTATTCAGAGTTGCTGCATTTCTGAGGACATCTGACCTCAGCTTCATTCCTGTTGACTCATTAGAGTGAGGAAGAATGGCCATTTGCCCTTTGACCCTTGTGTTGTTGGGGCTTGGATAGGGTTGCCAGATTGAGCAAATAAAAATACAGGCTGCCCAGTTAAATTTGAATTTCAGAGTTTTTTCAACAATTTTTAATTTATAATGTAAGTATGTCCCAAATACTAGATGGAACTTGCTTATATTAAAAAATTACTATATCTGAAATTCAAGTTTAACTGGACAGTCTATATTTTAATTAGGCAAGTCTAGTTTGTGGCAAAAAATTAAAGATCCATTGTGCCGGCCCTCAAGGCCTTGTTTCCCAACTGAAGCGGGCAGCTCACCACCCTCCAGCTCTCAAACCCATCTGAGCTTGGCTGCCTCCTTTGTAAAAGGAGAGAGGAGGGACAGGCCTGAAAAAACAGACATTTTACTGAGGTTCTGTCCCTGAAAGAATTCACAGGAGCCGAGGTGGACCCAGATCTTACCTCATGTGACTTCACAACCGCCTAGTAGGCCTGCAGAGAAGACCCCCTTGGCCTGCACCCATGGAGCACTCGCAACCTCGGGAAGACTCAGCTAACTCCCATCTCTCAACTAGACCATGCTCTCCACGACAGCAGGCTGGGCTATAGGGTGCCCGCTGTGTCCCCAGTTCCCAGTGTGGCAACTGGTGCCCAGGAGAAGCTCAGAGAATATCAACAGAGAGAGGGGAAAGCTGTGTCCTCTGAAGGCCATGCTAGATCTGGTGTCCAAGGAGAGTCAACAGTGTCAGGCTGTGATGGGGCCACCTCTATGGACCTTTGTCCCCACCCAGTGATCATGAGTGGATGTTTATTGAAGTTAGGGATATTCTGCACCTAAAGCCAGCACTTCTGTTGCCTGACATCACCTCTGCACCACCCCCATGCTCTGTCTCAAGAACCACAACTGGGCCTGTCAACCCAACAGTCAAGCACTGCCCAACAGTCAAGAGGCCCAGCCCTGGGCACAGAGCTCCCAATGCTGGTCATCATCAATGTGACCTTGGGCAAGTCCTCCCAAAATCTCAGTTTCCCCATGTTTCGTGTTTCCAATGACCTCTGGACCTTTGGCCTCAGTTCCAAACTGATAAGGGAAGCTTCAGAGCTCCAGGAAACAAGGCAAGGCGGATGCCCTTGGTAAGTCTGCACTTCTGGGAAGTTTCACCAGGACATTTGCTTTTTAGTCGAAATACTCAGCTAAAGACTTAAAATTGGGTATTTTAAATACACACTATTCACCAAGGTGCCTTAAGGAATAAAAATGCTAAATAATATAAAAGGCCATGAGGCTGGGCAGAACTCACACTTGGTCCTACACCTCCCTCACCCCTGTCACCCCCCACCCTCTGAACAAGGGGTATGGTCCTACCTGTGCAATAAGTCAGCAGGGCGGATGATCTTGGGCAGGTGGCACAACGTCTCTGTGCCTGTCTTGGTCTGCTGGGTGGGGATGCTGCCAGCAGTGCCTAGTTCTATTGCTTTAAGAGTCCATGAGCTATCTATCATATGATGAGCACTTACTATAGGGCTGGCATGAACAGAGGCCATGGTCAGTACCAGGCTCCAAATGGGGGAACATTATGGTCTTTCTTTCCCTCTGCTGTGATGTTAAAGAATATGGGAGACTCCAGCCTTCCTGGAACCGGGAAGAGGCAGGGACTGGGGGGAAGAAGCAGATCAGACCATGTTCCTGCCCAGTTAAGCTCTCCTCTAAATTGTGACCACCAACTGAATATTCCATAATATCAAGGAATTTGTCTTAATATTTTTAAGTGTGATGATGGTACTGTGATTCTTATTAAAGAAGGCCTTCCTTTTCTAGATATAAACTGAGATAGTCACAGATAAAATTACATAAAAAGAATGAAAGAAATACATAAGTACAGTAGGATAGGGTGGGAGGAAACCTCCAATAGTTTCCCAAGGAAATGTGACCCAGCCTCTCCCAGCACCCAGCACCTGGTCCCTGCTCACCTCACCCATATCTCACCTCCACCTGCTCCTCACCAGCTGTGTGCCACGCTCACCAACTTCATGGATCTTGGGCCACTATTCTGGCTGCCCCCTCTCTGAGCATCCCTCTTTCCCCAGTACTCCAAATAGGAGTAACTTACTTCAATCTCAGCTCAGAAGTCACTCCGGGTGGGGGCTCCCCTAACCATTCTCTGGGACATCATCCCACGTTATATTCTTCCTAGCAGTTGCCAAGGCCGGAAACTATCTTAGTTGTGTGTTTGTGTACTTTACTTTCTGTCTACCTTCCCACCAGAATATAAGCTGTTCTGACTGTTCATTCAGTCCACCTCTATATTCCGGTGTAAAACGGGATCTGGCAAACTTTGCTGAGTGAGTGAGTGAGTGAGTGAGTGAGTGAAAGGCCGCTGCTGAAAGGGAGCCAGGAAGGAAGTGGAGCGGGTCCGGAGGGTAGAAGGAGATCTGTTGTAGAACCCTAGGGTGAATGAAGCAGCAGCGTAGTAACACAGGGCTGAGCAGCCTGCGCTGGACGCTGAAGCACTCAGAGCCTACAAAGGGCTCTGGAACTGCTGAGGAGAGGGCATCTGAAAGAGGGCACGCCAGGGCTGAGTCGGCGCAGGCCCCTAAAACACAGCAAGCACGTGGCCCGGCCAGGGGCACAGGCTTCGCGCGGGGAGGGGACGCACTGTTCCGGGCACCGTCCCCAGCAGTCCGCCGGACTCCGCCCCTTACCCCCCCTACCCCCTTCGGCGCGCCAGGCCTGCTGTTTATCCTCCCGGGGACACAGCGGCAGCAGGAACAACATGTAATTGATAACAAGCCCAGCGCTGGCCAAGGGCTTGCCATTGGGTCAGCGTGCAAATCAAGGGGGTGGCAGACGAGGCCGCCCTTCAAAATAAGAGTCCGGGCTCCCCGCTCGGCCGCCGGCAGGCCCCAAAGTCCGCAAGCCCGGGCGTCCTGGCACCTGCAGGGTGGCCGGGGAGTCCCGCAAGCCATCGGGTTCTTAGAGGGGGCGGGGAGGGACATGATTGGAGGGGTTCAGACATTTGGTAATGTTGTCACCCCCACCCCGTCCCCATTGCTGGGATTGGGCGAGCAAGCCCCTCTTTGCCCGCGCGTGGGGAGGGAGGGAGGGCGGGCGGCGCGGGTCAGGAAGGGGTTCCATAGGGAACACCACTGTGGGGAGCAAAGAGGGAACCGGACGGCCAGGGAGGGAGGGGATGGCCTCTTCTCTGCCCCCGCCCCCGGCCATCGCTCCGCTAACGTTCAGTCCAACAGGCCAGGAGGTAGGAGCCGTGTGAGCGGTGCGAGTGTACGCGACAGGGTGCGAGTGGTGCCGTGTGGCCGTGCGTGTGCGGGCGTAGACGCGGCGGCCGGTGTGGCAGGACGCGAGTGTGTCCGCGGCGCACCCGCGCGTGGGGCCGGCGGCGGTGCCCGGGCGTGTGTGTGTGTGCGCGTGTGTGTGTGTGTGTGTGTGTGTGAACATGCGTGGGAAAGGCGGGGTTGGAGCCCGCCCAGACCCGCCGGTGGAGGTCCGGAGTGCTGCCCGCCGAGCACCGCGCCCTCGGCCCGCGCCCCCTCCCTTGCAGGCCGCGGCTGCTGACCGACAGTAACCCCGGCACCCCGGGCCCTCCGCCCCCCGCCTCCCCGGCCGGCGGGCCGGTACGTCCGCCTCCCCGGCCCGCTCGCCAGGCCCCGCCGGTGCCCGCCATATGGAAGGGCAGGCCGGCCCGGCGCGAGCAGATTGGAGGGGCCGGGCGCCGAGGCGGCGGTTCGGACTGGCGCCGGGAAGTGCCAGCGGACCACGGGGCTCACTCTCCTCCCGCCGGCGTGTCCGACCCCCGCGGCCCGCGCGGGGGATCTGCCCGCTCCTCGGGCATTTCCTCGGACGCTCTCGAGGAGCCCCTGGGACGAGGGCGCGGGCGCCAGGGCACTCGCCCGGAAGAGGTCCAGGACCCCTCCCTCGACCCCCGCGTCCCCGCGTCCCCGCCAGCCCCCGCAGCGCCCCGGGCCGCGTCCCCGCGGCCGCCCGGCCTCGCCGGCCTCTCCCACCTGGATGTGGCTCACGCCCGGCCAGCGGCCAGGCCCGGGCGGTCCTGAGGCCCGGCGGTCCGGGCTGAGTGAGGGCGGCGGTCTGGCTCCCGGTCCCACGGCGGCCGCGGGCCGAGCCGCTCTCGCTCACTCGCCCGCGGGCCCGCGAGTCGCTGCGGCCGCCGCCGCTCGCAGGGCGCTCACTCCCCGCGGCTCACGTGACTCCGCGGGCGCAGCGAAGGCTCGCAGGAGGCTCGGCCTCGGGCGCGCGCCCCATTGGCCGGCGCCGGGCGTCACGCGCCCGCTCTGGCCCCGCCCCCGCCTCCCGCCCCCGCCCCGCCCCCCCCCCTGGGCCGCTGGGGGCGCATCACCGCCGGCGCTCGCTCCGCGCGCTCCCCAGCCCCTGGCCTCCGGCCCCCGGCCACATCCCGGCCTCCAGCCCTGGCCGTGGACCCGCAGAGTCCCCGGGGGTCAGCTTCTGAAGCTGAGTTCCGGGGGGAAGGGGGGAGAAGGGGAGGCAGGCCACGGGACCTGCGGAATCCTGAGATCGCACGCGAGTGCCATAGGCGCGGGGGTGGGCGCCGGGGGAGGACCCGGGGTACAGCCCTGTCCAGGACAGCCCACTCCCACCCGCAGCCCCGTCCGGGCCGCTGTGTCCTCCGGCTGAGCGCCAGGTAAAGTAGGGCACTTGCCTCGGGGAACGTGTCTTTGGAGAAATACGGTAAGGTCTTTCCGCTGGAGGGTGCATGGTGGCCGCGCTGCCACCTGGGCGGTCGAAGAAGTTTGCGGAGGCCTGCTGATCCCCGCCTCACATCAAAGACACCCTACCCTGGGGCACTCTCCTGAACGGTGGGCAGTGCTTCCCCGCCTTCTGCAGTCCGTAGCAATCCCGGGACGCTTTCGCACTCCACTGAGAGAGAGGAAGCGGGAGGCTCAGTGATTTGCCCCAGAAACACATGAGCTGAGGGTGCCAGGCACTCTACTGTGTCCTTTCACCCACACTGCTGTTGGGTCCTCAGCCAAGCATTTTGCAGAGGAAGAAACGACCCTTGAGAGGCCACAAGATGCTCCCCTGGTCACACAGCTGGTAAGGAGAGGAGAGGGGGAGGCGGAGAGGGCATCTTCCAGAAAACCACAACCGGGGACACGTGGGTGGAAGCTCACATCCTTTCCCCTCCTGGCCTGGGAGCTAGGGAGCTATCCCCTGCTCCTCTATGAGGACTCTGCTAGAGCTGAAACTCAGACACTCATTGCTAGGACTCTGAAGTTCATGCCCATGCTGGCCCCCTGGATCCTGGAGCCCTCCCTGTGCACCTGTCAGTGCTAACAGCTCCTCTTGGTAAAACCCAGCAGCCAAACCCAGGGTTGGCCCAGGTGTAGAGGAGACTCGTGTTGAGGATGAGGATGGTGATAAGATGCGGTGCACTGTCTGAAACTTCATGACAAGCCCTGGCCAGCATTGGCAGAACAGGTAGAATTCACCAGTTTTTGTACAAGAAGAGACAGAGGTCTGGAGGGTTCGGTAACTCATTGACTTGTCTCTATGAAGTTGGGAGCCTGGCATTTCCATGGCATTTCTCCATCGGCCCTGCATACTATCCATCCTTCACTCCTCACACACTTCAGCCCAGGGTTCCCACCCCCTGAGTGAAAACCACACCAAAACGTCAGAAGACACATCAATAGCAGCTTCAGCACACAAGAGGCTTAGGGTCAGAAATGGGATCAGAGAAAAAGAAATACTGAATGATCCCCCTTATATGTGGAATCTAAAACAATAACAAACTCATAGAAAAAATAGATAAGACTTGTGGCTGCCAGAAGTGGGGGGTGGGGGAGGGGCATTAGATGAAATTGGTCAAGAGTACAAACTTTGACCCTGGCTGGTGGACACCACACACAGATTTCATGCACTGGGCCTCTAGTTATATTATAACTAGATGTACGGCAATTATAACTCAATAAAATGGGGGGAGGGACTGAAAACCAGCCAAGATGCTCCTGTTACAACCTGAGTCCGGCCATGTCCCTTCTTGACTCAGAACATTTCAGTGGCTCTCACCTGCAATGCCAGCAATGCCTTACAGGTTCTGGCCCTAATACACCTCTGACCTCACCCTCTACTCTTTGCTCACATCACTTCAGTCACACTGGCCACCATGTCATTCCTCAGACGTACCGGGCACAATCCCACCTCAGGTCTTTGCACTTGTTATTCCTCTTGCCTGTATAATCTCTTCCCCAGAAATTATATGGCTCCATCACCTCCTTTGGGGTTTTATTACATGTTAAATTAACTGTTAAAATTTATGACAGAGACCTTAACCTGGCCAGAAATCAGGAGAGGCTGTGCGAAGAGCTATCACACCTACGTTATTGTGAGAGCCCCACAGGAAGAACTCTATGTGTACAGAGCTCTGTGGTTGTAACAGCCCCCTCCCTAAACTCCCTGCTTCCCCTCATAAAGTACGTCTTCCATCTTTGTACGTGTAGCTCGTCATGTCTGCATGTACCAGATTGCAATTTTTTCTTGAATCAATCCTTTTGGTGACAGAGTACCTAGTCGACTTTCGTTTCATGGTCAACCTTTGGGGCAGTGGGGGGGGGCGGGGGGGGAGGGTGGGGAGGACGCCCATAGGGATTGCGGAGTAGTAACCCGGACAGCTTAGAGCAGGTGAGCAACCAGAAGCTGGTTCACCTCAGAGCCACTTGGGCTCACTGCTCTCTGGCTTGGAGGCTTAGCCTTGGTCTGGAACCCGGATTCTGATTTTATGTTCTGAAGCTCCCTGGACTTCGTTCAGAAACCCTTTGGAGGCTTTTTGTTGTTGTTGTTAAGGGGCCTTGCTTGTTTGTTTGTTCGTTTGTGAGCTCCGTTGACACTTTGGCCTGACTCCCCAGAAGTACCAGGCTGCTTCTCGGAACTGCACTCGCTCTCCGACAGATTCCATCTGGAACGGGGCTGTTTCCCCAGAAACTGAGGCTCGGCTCTGGTCTGGTTCCTTCTGGAAACAGACTGCTCCAATGCAGGCTGTGTCTCATCAATCTTTGACTTGGATCTCCAGAGATGAGGCTGTTCTACTACCACTGGCTTTTTAACTTCAGCCTCCACTCTCCCCTGCCCCACCCGCCTCGACCAGGGTGTGCTGTGGTATCTAACCTGCAGGTTGCTGGAACTGTTCAGGCTGTTTGGGGCCCTTGCGCTAAAGAAAAGTCTCTGAAACAATGGGATCTCCATTATCTAAATATTTCAAGACTGTTCCATCTCTAGAAACGCCTGCTGAAATCATGTTTAAGAGCCATGGTTACTCTTCATATTTAACTAAATAAGCAGATCTGACCAAAAGTAATTCAGAATAGCAATGGGCACCATAGGGAATCTTTGAAATTCCAAAACTTACTTTTCTTAAAACCCTATTGGATAATATTATCACTAAAACTAGCAAAGATGAAGGGAATGCCTATTTCCAGTGGTATTTTGAGGCTTCCAAATGGTACCAAGAATCTGAAGTTGGCCGAAACTGGTTTGACTCAATGGATAGAGTATTGGCCTGCGGACTGAAAGGTCCCAGGTTTGATTCCGGTCAAGGGCATGTACCTGGGTTGCAAGAGGCAGCTGATCAATGAGAGCATCAATGTTTCTAACTTTCTCTCCCTTTCTCTTCCTCTCTGTGAAAAATCAATAAAATATATTTTTTAAAAGAATCTGAAGTTGCCTCTTTACAAAGTAAACTTTTAGAATTAATTGGAGCTACTGACTTTTAAAGAGAGAAAGGATGGTTTCTGAAGCCTAATGATCTTCACTTCCAGTGCTGTCTTGCCCTTCCCCTCGACTCCTCTTTTTTTTTTTTTTTTTTTTTCTTCAAGCTTTACCTCTAAAGCCAGCCATCTGGCTTTCCACTGTCTGGCTTCCTAGCCTTGCCTCTGATGCGATCTTCCTCTGAACTTTCTCTCCCTTCCTTCTCCTCTAAATATCAGTATCTGTCTCCTTAAGGTTAAACTCTCTGAGGATTCTAATACACCTCATGTCCCCTGGACTAAGGCTGAGTTATAAGCCATGGTTAAAGAATCCCCTAAGGAACTAAGGATCCTCACAGATTTGCTGAGGAGTTTGATAGCATTTTTCAGGCCTATCATCCTGGGTTTTCTGATTTATAGCAGCGATCTCTGGTGACTCTATAGCTGAATCTGGGAGCACTGATCAATTATCTTTACTGAGTCAAACTGCTATCTTCTTTATGGACAAAATCTTGAAGTGATAGTGGCGAGATCCACTCTGTACCACCACCTCTTATCAAAATTCAAACAGATTCTTCAAAACCCCTTTCCAATTCATATCCCATTAAGTAAAAAGACTCTTCAAGGTATAAAGCCCATAACAGATAAACTCAGTCCCTGGAACACTCTCATTTTACCTGTGAGAAAGCCAAAAGGAAGGCTTGTTTCCCAGCAATACATCACATTGTTATCCCTCAAAAGCCTGCTGTTCCTAACCCTCATAAATACTAACATCCACCCAACTGGAGGCAACTTCTTTACTGTAGCTGATCTGTGCAGGGTGCGTTCTTTAGCATTGCCGCTGATGAAGCTGGTCCGTACCTTTTTGCCTTCACTTGGGAAGGAAACATTTCACTTGGACAGTAATGCCCTGGGGCCTTACTGAAAGCCCTTCTTTCTCACAGGTTCGGAAGGTTGTTTGGGATGATGTAATTTCCCCGAATGGTTCTACTTTGTTGCACTATGTGGACACCTTGCTTCTTTGCTCTTCAAGTTCTCCTCACAGGAAGACAGCCTCCGCCCATTAGAACTTTTGGCTTTTAAAACCTCTAAAGAAAAGTTGCAGTTTGTGTAAATTCAGGTTTAATAGTTGGGACATCAATATTGGAGCAAGGACTGCAACTGGATCCAGACAGGCTTCAAGGCCTGAAACCAAGGGTCAGCTCCAAGGCTTTATTGGGCTAACTGCCTGTTGCCAAAATTGGGTCCCAAAATCTCTCTCTGATGAAAAATCTCTATATGCTTTACTAAGAATTATAGTCCTGATCAAATTATATGGGAAGAACAGGACAACATAACCTTTAAAGTCTTAAAGGAGAGTTTAATAAACCCACCTGTTTTGGGGCATGTCAATTGTTAAATATTATATATATATATATATATATATATATATATATATAGAGAGAGAGAGAGAGAGAGAGAGAGAGAGAGAGAGAGCGAGCGAGCAAGGGATGCCCTTAGGTTACTCACCCAAAAACATGAGGACCACTATAGGCCCTTAGGGTATTCCAGTCAGCAGCTGGACCCTGTGGCACAGGGATACTGCCCTTGCCATCGACCCATTACTATCCCTGCCCTTTTGTTGAGGACATAAAGGAAATTGTAGGATCCCCTTTAACCATCATTGCACCCCGTGCAGTAGAAGTCCTCCTGAATTCTCATCACACCAGGGTCTCCAGTTAGTTGCCTGGCTTTCTATAAAGTCCTTTTGTAACGTACTCCTCACATCACTCTTTCATGTTTAATGACCTTATTCCAGCTACTCGTTTTCCCTGTGATGCTGACAGCCCCTCGTGACTGCTTGAATATGGATGGATCACTCCAGACCCCTTGTGATGATCTGCAAGAGACTCCTCTGGGTAGAGCTGGTTACTCATGGTTTACAGGTGGCCCATATTTTACAAATAAAATAGAAGGTCCTCTGCTGGTCATGCTGCTGCAACCCCTTTTGAAGTCATCAAGGCAGCATCTTTACCTTTGGCTCCCTCAGCCCAGCAGGCTGAATTACATGCTCTCACTCGGGCTTGTATTCAGCCAAGGACAAAACGACCATCATTCATAATGACAGTAGAGATGCCTTCGCAATAGCTCATGACTTTGGAATGTTATGGAAACAACGTGGCTTTCTTACATCCAGTGGAAATAAAATTTAATGTTCTGTACACTCAAGAATTACTGCATGCTATACTTGTACCTGCTGCGGTAACTATTATTAAGACCCCAGGGCATTTTAATTGTGACTCTCTGGAAGAGAAAGAAAATCGCTGTGATGACATTCCTGCAAGGAATGCTGCCCTTTAAGGAACCGGCAGCAGTCAAACCTCTTTGCTCTTCCTCCAAGGGGATATTTCCAGCTGATAACTTAGAACAGGGGTGGGGAACCTTTTACTGCCAAGGTCCATTTGGATATTTATAGCATCATTCTCGGGCCATACAAAATTATCAACTTAAAAATTAGCCTGTATATTTGTTCAAACATTTAATTCACCCCTAATACCTTGACAGGGTCACACCAAATGATTTTGAGGGCCTTAAGTGGCCTGAGAGCTGGACTTTCCCCACCCCTGACTTAGAAAGACTGGTCAAAGCAGCCCAGCAATTGGCTTCAGAAAAAGAAAAGTAAAATTGGAAATCCAACAATTTTTTAATATATATATTTTATTGATTTTTTTACCGAGAGGAAGGGAGAGGGAAAGAGAGTTAGAAACATCAATGAGAGAGAAACATCGATCAACTGCCTTTGCACACCTCTTACTGGGGATGTGCCCACAACCAAGGTACATGCCCTTGACCAGAATCGAACCTGGGACCTTTCAGTCTGCAGCCGAC